TATGCTTGTGCATTAAGTTTAAAGGAGTTGAATGAAATCCACTTGCATATACATATATATATATATATATATATATATACATATATATATATATATACATATATATATATCCTTATCCTATGAGTCTTACTAGTATGACAGAATCATGTAGATTGCTATGTTATAGGATTTCGGTAGAAGTCGAGTGATTACCTATAACTCACGAGAGATAGGAAAATATATTATTGTTACAATTATCATCACATGGAATATGAATGGATAATAATTGGGGACCGGACGGAACTGTACTTTGGATTTGAATTTGGATTGGGTTGGGCAATCGAGCGAGGCTCTGGTTGCACTCGTTCCGCCTGTGTTGATTGAGGACCGTCCGTTGCTGTGGATGGTAGTCAGGTCATAGACTTATTATCTTGAGCACATACTTCCTTATGGGAGCGGAAAGACTTGTTACTCTCTTGTCATAGGTTCTGGCTCTTTCCGGACCGACTTTTAGGGGTGTGTATTAGGTGAAGGTCTAAGCACCATAATGAGATCAGATCTCAGGTGTTGGGGCTTAGAGTCCAAGTTTGGACGGAGACCTAGACCCCTTGACAGGAGTGAAATGGGTTGGTCTTGTTTGTGCCCGAGGTACAAGCGAGGCGTGTGTTTCGGGGTACCCAGCTAGGATACATTGATTCACGAATCGTCGTTTCTGTGAGACGGTACAACTTGGCTATGGTCTAGCACCATAGTAAGAACTGGAATATGAAAGATGGTAAAATAGTTCTGTTTGCTTACCACCTGCTTGAAAGTAGCATATGTGCTTACATAGAATGGTTAGTTAGTAAACTAATGATGACTGCTAATAAAATTGAATATAAGGACGCATATTTAGTAATGCTTTCTGCAGATGTAATAACCCACAAGTCAGATAGCCTTGCATATCCTTGTAGTCTTTTATTTTCCTCCTGTCGAGTAAGTCTTACTGAGTACAATCGAGTACTCAGGGTTTTATTCTCCCCGTTGCAGGTGACCGAAGGATACATAGAGCTGACTCTTATGTGTGGAAATCTCCTGGTGGGCCCAGAGAGAATTCCTTTCACGCTACGACCGTAGTGTTTATTTATAACCCTCACTAAAAGTTTTTAGAAGAAAAGTTTTATGATCTGTCATCATATTTGGTTTATAAATGTTCCCTATGTTAATGATTCATCATTAATCTTTATTTCGGCTGTAACTCTGATCATATGTTGTTCTCCGCCGCAAGATAAAAATGTGAACCTAAAATGTATAAACTCTTTTACATGTAAAACTGTCTTAATTCCGCTATGCATTCAACTTGTTTAAGTACTATAATGTTGTAATAAAGTGATGTAAGAAATGATTAAGAATGTTGTAAGCTTTATTCTCTCATTTATGATCATGATGGAAGAACGTGGATTTTCGAGTTCTCTCTTGGGGTGTGCTCGACGGAACGGTACAATTTAGTGCACTCTCTTAGGTACTTATTATCTAATGAAAGACAAGTACTCTTGGGAGGGCATTAGATTAGACGGTTCTGCCACAAGTTTCTTCTATCTTAGTCATGGTGGTTTGTTATTCTTGCGTATGTTCCCTTTGCGATCGTATGCAGGAATATGTTCCGTCTATCAAACGTGAAACTTTGTAATGGCTTAAACCTGATACTTTCTGTAATTTCGTTGCTTTGGTAATGAAATTCGGTTTTTACCGTTGTGGAAAATAAAATCTTAATTCCACCATGGTTTATAAGTTGGTCAAATTACTCATGTATATCACTGTGCTTAAACAAATACTCCCTTTGTCGTAAAGAAAACTACCTGTCTTATTTTTTGAGAAATCTAACTTTTAAGTCTGACTAGATTCATAGACTACATAATCAACATTTGTATCTTTTAATGTATTAATATTTATTATATAATTTTTTCACTATTAGTATAATAATATTTATTACACATCATAATATTAACATATTCTTGTATATATTTGATTATTTTTTTTTAAAAAAATTGACTCTTCGAAAAGCAAGACGTGCATTGATTTTGACACGGAGTGAGTTCAAGTAACACTTTGTACGATCCTAGTGTTGATTTGAAATTCTCATTTGGTTAATATGATGCGGAAGCTTTAGCTTTTGTTGCCGGTGGATCATTGTTGTAATCTTTCTATTCTAAATTATAAGACACTCTGACTATTTTTTTTTTTAGAAAAGAAAGGGGTGGGCGATAGGTCCATCGAAGTGCCGACGCATGGCTGAGGAAACAAATCAACGTGAGTCACGGGAGCGTGGCTCCTCCCCCTGCATGTCGGCCCCGCGCATGTCTCAGACTCCTCTCCAGTCAACATGCATGTCTCGCTCCTCCCTGCACCTGCTGCTGTCAGATGGAATTCCCATCCACGTGGCGTCCATCGGGCAAGGAGGGCGCACGCATGCTTCGATGGACCCATCGCTCACCCATTTTTTCTAACTTTTCTAGGTATAATATTTTTTTATATATTTAGACATAGTGTATTCTAAGTGCATAAACAAAAGTTATAATAGAAAAACCACAATGTTTTATAATTTTGGATAGAGGAATTATGTTTTATTTTTTATTATTTAAAGTAAAAAACTTAGTTTCTTTGAACAAGGTTGGACTTGGTTTTAAGCCTGTGACAAGAAAGGAAAAGCCGCCCGACCTCGTTTGCATCTTGAGAGATCTCCCATGATACTCCAAACAGATGATGACAGAGCGGCAAATGGTCGTCCCAAAGACGCATCGGCATAGCACACTCCTCCGCGTCCGCGTCTCCCTCCCTCGAATCGCTGTCGCTGTCGCCGCAGGAACATCGGAGTTGATTCCATCGACGACCGTCGATGGACACGAGGCAACGCCGCCGCCTCCCCCGCAATAACAAAGCGCCCGCGCCTCAGCTCCCACCCATTCTTCCTCTCTCTTGCACTCATCGCTCGTGGAGTAGCAGGCAGGCCTAGCTGATTCGTCTTGCTCGTTCCGCTGATCCCTTCTTGCAGCCATGGCTGCTCCCGTCAGCGCCGTCGCCGCAGGATCGGCCACCGTCACTTACTCCCCGACGCTCCGGGTCCAGGTCTGCATCGTCTTTCTTGGGTCGTTCTCGCTGCGTTCCTGGCGTTTTTATCCTTTCCTTTAGTTACTACTGGTGCAAAGCTTGGATCTTTGATTTCGAGATGCCGGAGCTCTGCTTTCCTGTCACTGTAGGGAATGGATGCAGTGTCGTTTCGGGTATCGGCATCTTTCAATTTCCCCAGGCAAAGAGCAAGCTTTCAATCAATTCGGGCGCGGCGGATTCCAAAGTGCTTTCAGGTGTCATGTTCGGTACGTACTCCTATCAGTAGCAAGCGCCTTTGTGTTGTTCCATCCATTGAACCGTGCAAATTTCACTTCACTGGGAAGCTCTTTAGATGGTTTATTATCTTATAATATGCATTCAATGGTCCTGGACTTCTCCACTATGCTTTGAACATTGTGAAATGCTGATAATGTTCTTCCTAGACCTATTCTTGCTGCATTCCCCCCCCCCCCCCCCCCCATTCGTTCATTCCAGTGAACACTGTGCATTCAATATGCTGTTTTGCTTACGTGGGTGTTTGTGTATTCCAGTCCAAACAACATAGCCACTTTATATGTTCTGAACATTCTGAATGGTTTATTGGAACGAAATGCATTTTCTACTCCCTCCTTTGCTGTTGATCATGACGATCCATAACAATTGATTTTAAATTCTTGAATAGGCTAAACAAGAAACTGTTGACAAGGTTTGTGAAATAGTGAAGAATCAGCTAGCTCTACCCGAAGACACCACTGTAATAGGAGAGACAAAGTTTGTAGACATTGGAGCTGATTCACTCGACACGGTAACTCCTTGCAAGTCAATGCGATTTTCTAACATCATATATAAGTGGAACTATGAAGCTTGTTGGTATATTCATTTCTGAATTTGGTGTAGGTTGAAATTGTGATGGGACTTGAGGAGGCATTCCAAATCAGCGTGGACGAATCGAGTGCTCAAGAGATCCAGACGGTGGAGGACGCTGCTGCTCTCATCGACAAGCTTATCGCGGAGAAGGATGCTTAAGATGACGCCAGTGTTTGTATGATTAGTTTTGCAGGCACCGAGCTCACGTGCACTGCTGTCCGGATGGTTTCTCAAGGCCTATATATAGTTCATTGCAATTATATTTAGTCAGAATTACCAAGTTTTCTCTTATGTATGCCTTTTGGGGTTATAATAAATAAAACAGGGAAATCATACTATTTCCCTGTCGCCGAGAGATGGAAGTTGTGAGAGACGGCATCCCATTCATGTAGCTGAAACAGGTATTGGAACTTGTTGTGAAGAATTTCAAGTTTATACAATTTCATTTCAAATCCAGGGAGTTTGTGAGTTTTGTCTGAAATGTTCTCTATGTATCTTTTGCCTTGCTTGAAATTAATTGTCGAATTCGCCTGTGCACCGCAAAAATGTTTGATTCGGCGAGGCTGGAAATTAACTGTTGAATTCACCTGTGCACCGCAAAAGTGTTTGATTCGGCGAGGCTGGACCACGACCTGACTGTTCAGAGCAAAGGAAGTGGGCCGAAAGGCCTTGCTCTTTTCCTTGTGATGATGTCTTAAGGCGCGTGGTCCTAGGACTCCTCTCCTACCCAACCGGCCCAGTCCACCACGCAAAAGCCAAGCTGAATCTACTCGAAACACAGTAGAGTCGTAGACAGGAATCATCCCCTCAACAAAAAAACAAAAAAAAAGGACAGGAATCTAAATAGTACTTACTACTAGCATAAAGCTCCAATACCAACAGATTGTGTAGCAAAACACTGGCTTAGACCCAGAGAGTTTGAGTATTAGTTCCAGTTCCATCCACGAACAAAGCCTCAAAACATGCCCCCACACATGCAACGGGCTAGGCTAAGCTACAGTTAGGACAGTTTCACAATCTAGTCCGATGATGATCTCCAATCCCAAGGCGGTTCCAGCTACCAGCTGCTACTGAGACGCCTTTTCGCGTTTCAGGAAGAAACTTCTTGCCATCTCTTCAGTCACATCACTGCAGCAGAACGGAGAAGATCAATCGGAGATGTTAAGAAACGAAAGCCATGCTAACCGCAATGTGGATGGACACATGGCGAAAGCTTTGCAAACCTGTCAGGCGCTTCCTCTTTGCTGATAAGTGAAATATTTTTTGAGGAGAGAAGTTGAAAGAACTTGGCAGCATCACCCTCCTTCAATCTCTCGTAAATCTTTGTTAGGAATTCGTTGAATTCCTGTGGTTCCTGATCACGAATGACGCCCAGTGTAAACAGAGACAAACAGATTGGCAAAACTGGCAATATCTAATTTGCTACAACAACTGCTCAATTTTAAGGAGACCCAGCAAGCATGCTAATGAACTAATAGTTAGTAGGTCTATTAGCAGGCCTGTTTTGATCCATACCTACTAATTTTAGGTGCTAACTATTTTAGCACTCGTGGATCCAATCAGACCCAACCTACCTATGTGGCATTGCCATAAATCTTATGACATTGGCTCATGTAACTATCATGTGCTCATGAAAATAAACCCCTAGAGTGCTTACCTGTTCAATAATGCAGGCCTTCCGCGGAGCAGCAAAATATTCAAGTGCCTTTTGGTAGTTACTCCCATCACGAGACTTTTGTAACAAAGCTGCTGTGTAATTCTGCATATCTTCAATAGCCTTCTGAACCCAAGTTGAGCTAGATCTCTTAGCCAGCATGGCCACAAAATCTTGAACTGGATTTGAATCTCTGATCGCCCCAACATTCTCTGTTGGAGGATGTGTATTTTCCAGAAGTCTGTCCTTCTCTACAGAAGGCTCTTCTACAGATTTAGCTTGATCACCTGCACCACTATATGCCAATATGTCCTTTGTTCGTGCTTTCTTTTTCTGTAATCAATGATGCATTTTTTTCTTTTGTAAAATTGGACCAAATTCAATCAATATAACAAATATTTGCATCTAACCTTGGGGTTCTCCTTCAGCTCAAAAGCTTTTCCTAAATTCTGGATTAATTGTGTTTGTTGGCCAATCACATCAGGATCAGGTTCAGTTATCCTCCTTAGAGATCTTTCAAGTGGTGGGACATTTGCATCTGGCTGCTTTGACTTGAGATCAAGGTAACTGCAAAATCTCTGAAAGGGGACAATGTACCATAATCAATGAAACCAGCAGTGCAAGTGTGCAACCCACACACTACCTCATGCACAAGATCCAACGGTATTGCAGAAATGTTTGGTTATCGCATAAATTTTGAACTTTAAGTTGTTTTGTTCGACATATAACACTCCATCCTCCCATACCCCTTCTTTTGCCATAAAGTCCTACTGCTATGTTCTTAATTCTCAAATGTTGGCCGAACTTTTCTTTGGGGTGACAATTGGTGCAGAATGGACACAAATACAGCTATCATACTTACCATTTGACATGTAAAATTATTTCCACTTTAAGAGGGACACAGTATTTGTCAAAAGCCTACAGCAGTGCACAACTGCACATCTTGTTGATAATGTCATGATTTTTGTTGGACTAAAAATAACAGCCACAGTATTTTTGCACTAAGTCAATACCTTACTAAAGGCACATTAATGTAGGGAATAGATGAAAATAGAATAACAAATAGGACCATGTATGCATTCCAGATGATGTTCTACAATGAAAAATAGTACCTCCAACATGGGATTTGGTGTAAACTCAGGCTTGAGGACCTCTCTTCCAGGTGGTGCTAGGTCTAACATCTTCACTAGGTTATCTGCAGCTTCTTGTTGTTCTTCAGTGGGCTGAGATGATGATGGCATGCTGCTAAAGGATCGAAACTGAAACTCTCTGATGTCCTCAGCAAATGGGAGCACATTGAAGTAAAAGGAATCTTGCTGCAACATATAGTAAAGAATTGATTGAGCATTCATCAAAGCTTTCAAATGTAAACGGCATAAATATAATACTTACGACATTGTTCACTGATGAAATATTTGGCGTCAATACACCAAGAGCAACATTCCCTTGACCTTGCCTCCACACACATCACACAATAGCAACCTTGTTCATTTGATGCATTGCTCTTGCTATGGCAGAAACTGCAAGAGTTGCTTTAATGTTGCCTGGTTCAGGTATAAACAAGCATACGTCTTTCATAAAATGTTGCCTGTTGAAGTAGAAAAAAGGAACCATTACTTGTAAGTACACTTTACAGAACATGAAAGCATGCAGGTTACAGACTACAGAACATCAAAAAGACATTTTATGTGCAGATTTACAAATATAATTAAAAACACACTTTACAGATAGTCCAAATTGCAAAGAAAAGACTCAGTAAAAATAATGAAAAGTATACAGCTATCATGATAGTCAAAATTTAGAACATAGTGGCAACACTCAAAACAGCAGAAAGCTAAGAGAACTTAACTCTACAGGGGGGTGAGAGAAGGGTTTACTAAGCTGCCAACCAAAAATGCACCAGGATGAATTTTTACAACAATTTTTCATAAAAATATTACAATATGCACCCAAGGATAAAATTAAGTACACAGGTTTCATCTGTTGAAATAAACCATTAAGTCATTAATAACAATTCAGCTTCACTGATGCAGGCAGGACTTGGTGAGGACTGAGGAGAGGTTCTTCATTCCCTCTTGTCTACAGTCAAGCCAGATCACTCTGTATGGCTATGTTCAATTTATAGATCAATTCAGCCATCTCAATATCTCACCACAGGTTTATGTTTGCAAGGTTTTCAAATGATTGACCTTGAAGACCCCAACAACAACAACAACAACAACAACAAAGCCTATCAGTCCCAAGCAAGTTGGGGTAGGCTAGAGTTGAAACCCACCAAAAGCTCCTAGTTACGGTTCAAGCACATCAATAGCTGTTTTCCAAGCACTCCTATTCAAACATACAAATCTCTTTTTATTACCTCCCCCTCATATCAATTTCGGTCTACCTCTACCTCTCCTCACATTATTAGCTTGGCTTAGGACTCCACAATGCACTGGTGCCTCTGAATGTCTCCTTTGGACATGTCCAAACCACCTCAACCGATGTTGAATAAGCTTTTCTTCAATTGGTGCTACCCTTAGGCGGCCACGTATATCATCGTTCCTAACTCAGTCCATTCTTGTGTGACCACAAATCCATCGCAACATATGCATTTCTGCAACACTCAGTTGTTGAACATGACGAATCTTTGTAGGCCAGCATTCTGCTCCATACAACATAGCCGGTCTAATCACCGTTCTATAAAACTTGCATTTTAGCTTTTGTTGTACCCTCTTGTCACAAAGAATGCCAGAAGCTTGTCGTCACTTGATCCACCCTACTTTGATTCTATGGCTAACGTCCTTATCGATATCTCCATCTCTCTGTAACATCGATCCTAGATAACGAAATGTATCCTTCTTAGGCACTACTTGACCTTCCAAACTCACATCTCCCTCCTCCTGTGCAGCTCCGCCAAAGTCACATCTCATGTATTCGGTTTTAGTTCTGCTTAATCTAAAACCTTTAGACTCAAGGGTCTGCCGCCACAACTCTAGTTTTCTATTTACTCCCACCTGACTTTCGTCCACTAACACTACATCATCAGCGAACAACATATACCGAGGGATATCCCCTTGAATGTTCCTAGTAACCTCATCCATTACCAAAGCAAAGAGGTACGGGCTCAAGGCTGACCCTTGATGAAATTCTATTTTAATCGAGAAGTAAGCTGGGTTACCATCATTTGTTTGAACACTAGTCACAGCATTGTTGTACATGTCCTTATGAGGGTCACGTACTTTGATGGGACTTTATGTTTGTCCAAAGCCTACCACATAACATTTCTTGGTATCTTGTCATAAGCCTTCTCCAAGTCAATGAAAACCCTTCTTCTGCTCTCTGAACCGCTCCATAACTTGTCTTATTAGGAAGATTGCTTCCGTGTTGACCTTCCGGGCATGAAACCAAATTGCTTTTGTGGTTGACCTTGAAGACCCCAAACAAACATAATATGAAGGAGCTTCTGGCTGGGTCGCTTGTTGTAGGTTAATTTTCGCTAAGTTTTCTGTTGAGTGCTCTTTGTTGCCTAGCCTCTACTCAACTAGTTTCTTTGGCCTTGTGTCTCATAGTGACAGGTCATGTTAGCTGTGGAAGGCTAGTTGTCCTGGTCTAGTGTTTCCCTTGTGGATTGGGGGGAGGGGGGAGGCTCCCTCCTTTGTATAGTTACTCTTTTCTCTCTTAATGAAATGATGCACACTTCTCTTGCGTGTTCGAGAAAAAAGAATATACAATACTTGGTCTTGCGATTTATCTAAACATACACTGTAGCAATAAGAAACAATTACTATCACCAATGATGCATGTGGTAGTAAGAGAAGAGGCAACTCTAGCAAAAAGAAAAGGAGTGGTTTCCAGATCACTAGCTGATAGCAGAATTTAATGATCATGTCTAGCATTGATGTCAAGACTAATGATAATGCAGAAAGCAAAACAACAACTACAAACCAAGCAGCGAAGAACAACACATTTAGAGACTCAGAAACAAAAAAAAAGGGCGTACCCAATGCAGAGAGCTCCCGCTCTGTGCGGAGTTTGGGGAAGGGTGTTAGTGGCAAGCCTTATCCTCGCCTGTGCAATGCGAGGAGACCACGGCTCGAACCCGGGACCTTCCGGTCACAGGCGGTAAGACTCTACCACTTGCACTAGGCCCGCCCTTCAGAGACTCAGAAACCAAGCTAAAGGTTAAAGCATACCGTGGTACATTGGATCTATCTGTAAATCCTAGAAGCTTCACACCTTTCTCTGGCTTGAACTTGACCGCCTCCCATTCAGCATTTGATACAGGAACAACTTGAGGACCATAAAGATACCCCTTAATCCTCTGGTCTGGTGGAACAACTTTGTCTGGTTCAACAACGCTCTTGTACTCATAATCAACTTTGACTTCGTAAGAGGCAAATTTATCACTTGGAGGAGCCTTGTCCGAATACTTCTTCGAAGTGGGGAATTTCTCCTCAGCTGCTTTCTTATACACCCACACCTATTAACAAGGGCATACATATCAGCCATGATTGCGAGCAATATGGACATACTAACGCAATCACCTCAAATCTGATAGTCTCAAAAAAAACTTGCAAACTGAAGCAGAAGATTTAAATTATTATAAACCTCTGTAACTGCTGGAACATCACATATAACTGACAAACGAACTGGGCCTACCTTTATTTTAAAATTGGAGTTCACTTCCAGGTCTCCCCTGAAGACGGTAACTGGAAGCACATTTCTTGTCTTGAGAGCACCCAACAGCGATGTAGGGCTGTCAACCTGAACTACCTTTGCAACTGATCTATTTCTGAACTGATACAATAATCGGTCGTTTTCTTCCATTACAGCATTATGATGCACTCCCGGTTCTCTGAAGATAATGCACTCCAGCTTGATACTGTGTTTTTTCAACATGTCTGCAATGGTGTCCATCTGTTCTTCTTTAGTCCCCTCGGGCGGATCTCTTAACAGATCCTGTGCACTGGTGATTAAACAGAGCCTCCGCTTCCCTTTGGTATTACCAAATTTCCTCATCACCATATCCAATCCAACAACAATAGAATCCAGAACTTTGCTTTAGTCAAGGAATTTCTATGCTGAATTTGGTCAGATTCAACAACAACAACAACAAAGCCTTTATTCGGGTTTCATCTCCATTAGAATGGCTAGATTTAACGTTGGCTCGCCACGCCTATCATAACCCTCCTCCTTTACCAGGTCTTGGGACCTGCTATGTTGAGACAATATAGGCGGAGTTGAATTTGGTCAGATTCCATCAGAACAAAACAAGGCTATAATCAAAACGAAATCACAAAAACAACTTAAACTAAATAAACCATAGATGTATAGTTCTATACATAATAATTACAGGACACATATAAAGAAGAAGCACATGAGAAATCAGTTTGGTACTCCAATCAATAGGCAAGAACCGCTACATAAAGGACCAAAAAAAGTTAAATCTAACAAAGGGCACTACAGAAAATGCAAACACTCGAAGATGGACAGCCTAAGAAATGCTACTTTAATTCAAACTGTCTACATATGATTTAAGATTATCAAGCACGTACATATAAAGGGAATATTAAGAAAATGGACCTAGAGACACGCAGTTTATGTAGTGTAGCTGCACAGATACGTAGTGCCTCCAGTTCCAAATTATAGGGCTATAAAAACTATATATCTAGACATAGCATATATCTAGATGCATACTGCATAGCAAAATCTATGTACCTAGAAAAGCCAAAACGACTTATAGTCTGGGACAAAGGGACTAGCAGTTAGTATTAGGATAAAATTAAAGCTACTGCTGTTTCATGGATACAATCACCAGGGGCAGATCCTAATGGAAGGTTTTGCAGAGCCTGTGCCGTCCCTTCATCTACAACTTTAATATCATGTGTGACCGTCACATGCTTATAGCCCCCAAGCTCCTTTGCAAGCTCATTGCATGTTCCTGAAAAGATCAGGGAAATGTACTCCATAAATTCTTAACTTTCAGAAGCAATAAAGATAAAATGCTGACAGTGTTCGTGACTGATGTACAAGCAATATAATTTTTAATATCGTTGTCTAACTAGAAGAAGAGTGTTCCAAAATCTCCACTGATTCTAGATGTATAGCCAAGAGAATAAAAGTGCAAACCTTTGTCATTGTTAAGCAAACATTTAGTCAATGTAACTTTGAGCAGTTTCATAATATAAGCATTCCTTGAAGTGACATAATGAAATATAGTAGGAAAGATGGATTTATCGTAAACAATCCTTGCATTAAAGCCCATATAGTACCAAAAAGAAGTTGACTAATTTAATGGCAGTTGTCTCTGGAGCGCTGAGTTCGTCTTGAAATTCCTATATCATGTTGATTCCTATGAAACAGAAGTTATTGTCTCAACACATGATTCAAGTGCACAAACAAGTTTTACTATTTTTCATTGAACACAGTTTTATTCTGTTTGATCAAATTTATCTCAAAACACACTGCTTTCATGCCTTCCCTTTGTAATGAAAAGGGAGGGTTCCCAATCGGAGAATGTAACAAATTGTATCTAAATTTGTTCTTAATGGTTATAAAGTCCTTACAAGATGACAACCAGTTCGAACCTCTTCGAACAAACAATAAAAAAAGGCTCAGCCAATAGTTTACAAAATCTGATAGAAAATCAACAAATCAATACAATTTGAGGTACAAATAGAAACAGTTGTTGCAACTATAAACAACTAACCTTTAGTTCCAAAGAGGACAATACCGACTTCATCGCTCCTGTTATAAACTAGCTGCAGAAGTAGCTATCAATCTGAGATGGTTTACTCGCATAACTATAGGCAATAGCATTAATTGAGGAAGCTCGATGATGCATGAAAGAACATGTGCTTGCCTCCTTATGCACAAGAGTCAAGCATATGTTCTTGACCTCTTGCAGCACCCCATGCATCGAAGGCCCAACATCCAACAGCAAAATCACCACTTCCTAAGAAACAATTAGGTAATTAGCAAACGCACAGGCATCGCTAAGAGAAGAAATGATAAGCCCATTTCATGCATAGTTGAAAAAGAAGTTATAGAAATGTCCAGACAAGAGAACAAGGGCTCATTTGTTCATCCAATTTCCCCCCTGTGCAGAATGTGCATAAAAACTGATAAAGCTAAGATAGATACGAAGGAACAATTTCACATCTCTTTACATCATATATAACATGTATGTTATCCAGAGCTGTAGAGCATGAGGTGGTCAATTTTTGCACATTAAATTAAAAATCACTAGTTGAACTCACAGTAGCAGTGGGGGAATCAATCATGTATGCAGTGCAAACAGAGAACATATTTTCATGACACAAATTCAGACAAGCTAGTAACTAGGAGCAACTGAAATGTACAGTCCAGGCAAACAAACATCACCGACCAGAGAACTTAGGGTGTGTTTGGTTTGAGGAATGAGGTGATCCATATTCTTCTCACTCCTCACTTTCTGTATTTAGTTTGTGGAAAGGAATGAGTTGATCCATCACCACCTCATTCCTCACAGGCTAATAATTAGTATATGCACGGGGAATGAGTTGATTCCATCAAAATTCATGGAATGAACTCATGATACATCACCTCATGAAGCATGGGATGGCTCCACAAACCAAACACATCATTAACTTCCAGGACCAGATTCTAATGGCTTTAGAAACATAAGTACGTTTTTCCCGCTTGATCAAACCCTAGCATAGGCGAGCGACAAATCGCGCCTTTTTTTTGAAGCCAAATGTGTGGCGCATTATTTAGAAGGCGCGATTGGTCGAAACAGGGCGCAAGCAATGGAGATAAGACGAGAACGCACCCTGTTGAGGGCCATGGCGAACGTAGCGGAGGGGGACTTGCCGCCCGGCAGAGAGAGGGGAAGAGCCGAAGAGGGTTTATGCCGCCTCCATGAAAACCCGCTCGAAGACTGGGGTAAGCTGCAGGAGTTGACTGACGGTCGGGTGGTCAACTCAACCCAAGGGAGCGGGGCGAGGTGGCCGGGTGGCCGGTGGGGATGGGGTAGGAGGAGCCAGGGAGGAGCAGACTTTCTGGAATTCGACCACTACGAGAAGTGGGCTTCGATGATTTGTTATCCCGTAACGAGGCTTCGTTATCTAGCCATTACGAAACGCAACCCATCCGCGAGTATGCAATTCGATGACTTTGGGACCCTTTTCTTCCTCTTCTGCCCCTGTCTCTTTCCTCTTGTGCCTAATGGGCGTGCGGCGCGAGCAGAGGAACCGGTTGTGACGATCGCCGAGGAAGTAGTTCCGGAGCGGGGGCGCATGGAGGAGCGCCTGGAACACGGAGTTCATGAAGCCCCCTGCTGTCACGCTCCGACCCGCACCCCGCGGCAGCCGCCGTTGTCCCCACCAACCCGCCCCCTTTCCCATCCCCGATGTCCACCCCGTCGGCACCACCGCCCTGCCCGCACCTCGCCGCGCACCGCCTGTCCTCGTGCCCGCTGCGCTTCCTCCACCGCTGCCTGCGCGTGCGCCCGCTCGGCCGCCCCGAGATCCGGCGGGACCCGCGCGAGCTGCCGCGCTGCTCGCCCTGCGCCGCCGCGGCCCCGTCCCCGACCTCCCGCCTCTACGCCTGCCTCTCCTGCGCCGCCGTCTTCTACCCCTCCCACGCCGCCTCGCACGCCTCCGCCTCTGCAGGGCCCGGTCACCAGATGGCCGTCGACGTCGACCGTGCCGAGCTCTTCTGCGCCGCCTGCGGGGACCAGGTCTACGATCCCGACTTCGACCACGCCGTCTTCCTCGCTCAGTCCTCCTCGCTCCTCCCCTCAACCACCACCTCCGCCTCCCCGTCCCCGTCCGCGGCGCTCCGCAAGCGCTGACGCGTGGATTACCGCACGTGGGTGCCAGATCTGGCCGAGTTCGCGCTCATGAGCTCCGCGGACCCCACCACATCCGCCTCCGCCGCCGCGCGCGGCAGGGCTGCGGGGGCTCAACAACCTTGGCAACACCTGCTTCATGAACTCCGTGCTGCAGGCGTGCACCCCTCCGTTCTGTCTGTGCGAGCACCAGTGAAAGAAAGAGGAAAGGGACAGGGACAGAAGATGAAGAAAAGGGTCCCAAAGTCATCGAATGGCATTCTCGCGGATGGGTCACGTTTCGTAATGGCTAGATGATGAAGCCCCGTTGCAGGATAGCAAATCACCGAAGCCCACTTTCCGTAACGGTGGAATTCAAAAAGCCCGGGAGGAGCAGCCTCTAGCGAGACGAGGACGAAGAGGGTCGGAGGCGGCGAGGGGGACAAGAAGAAGAGAAGACGCCTTCGTTCGGCCGGCGCGGCGGTGTGCAGAGGAAGGAACGAAAGGAAAGTAAGAGAGTGGTCCGGGCCGTTCCGGCCCAAACCGATTAGTTAATAGCCCAGCAGGGAAGCCCAAACTCGTCGCCGTCGCCTTCTTCCTCCTTCCGTTCCTGAGCTTCTGCTTCGCACCCAACACAAGGAGGCAGACAGACCCCATTCTCAAAAAAAAAAAAAAAAAAAAAGGAGACAGACCCCCCACACCGTCGACGAAGAGGAGGCCGGAGAGAGGATGATACTGGCCGTGCTCTTCGCCAACTCCGACGGGAACATCCTCATCGAGCGGTACTTCCCCACCTCACCCTCCTCTCACTCCGCAGAGATCTCATCTCGATCTCGCCCCCCTTGACGAGATCTACCGTCTCCCTAACGCAGATTCCATGGGGTTCCCGCGGAGGAGAGGCTCCACTGGCGCTCCTTCCTGGTGAAGCTCGGATCCGAGAACCTCAAGGGATCAAAGAACGAGGAGCTCCACGTTGCTTCCCACAAGTACGTTTCATGATCATCTCCCCACACACCATTTACCCTTTTCATTCTTATTATTATGCTTGTGACCCTTTTGGTTTTATATAGGAATCAACCATCTCTGATGTGATCATGTGAATTAGCTCCAGGGAAGAAAAAAAGTATCGTGCTGTTAACAACTGGTTACTTTTAACTTGTTACTGTCATAATAAATTGATGATCTAAATTGATTAAGCAAGCATGAAAGATGTTCACAAGTCAAGTCCCAGCTTATCAGCTGTGGTATGAGTTAACCATATGCTAGAGGGTTAGAGGCAATTGGTCTTAAGTACATGTATCCCTTCTGAGTCCCAGTCTTATGGTTGTTACGAGTAATGCTTGCCCTCGTAGCCAAAATATTGGACCGTTACTCCATCACCGTTAATCCTCAATGATATGCCCTCTCAGTCAAAATATTAGACTATTGCTCCATCACTGTTAATCCTCGATGCTACCCCAGGTCTGTGTCTATTGTTTATACTACGATCGGGGACGTCTGCCTATACATTGTTGGCAAGGATGAATATGATGAGCTTGCTTGTAAGTCACAATTTTCTGATAATCTTTGGTCTTCCTCCATTTCAAATCTTTGCCATCTTACATTCTTTTTAACTTAAACTGCCTTCTACCCTTTTAGTGGCCGAGGTGATTTTTGCAATTACATCAGCAGTCAAGGATGTTTGTGGAAAACCTCCTACTGAGCGCCTCTTCCTTGACAAATACGGGAGGATCTGCTTGTGCCTCGATGAGATTGTTTGGCAGGTAGATCTTCGACTCATTTTTCTGCCTCGTGGATATTTCTTTGTGCCTGTAATCTGGATACAATATAATGCTTAGCATATCAGCTGGATGTTCCAATATCTGCCATGTTCTGTTTCCCATATAATTTATTTAGTGAAGCCAAATGTCAGTCATGATCCTATGCAACAATGGTCTGCCTCATGATTATCAAACTCTTTTATGCAACTAAACCGCAAACAAGTTTGTGCTATATAAATATGTTGTGACATGTTACCTATGGTAAAAGAATTGTACTTTATCTGACTAGTTGTGTTTATCATTTTTGCAGGGTTTGCTCGAAAACACGGAGAAAGACAGAGTGCGGAGGTTGACTAGACTAAAGCCCCCTGTTGAGCCATGATTTGCATGTAAAGCATATGTTGTGTGTCACTGTAATCCAGATCCAATCTCATTTACATTCGTAGGCAATTTATCAGAGTTTCCATCTGCGCGTTGTATCTACAAGATCATCATCGCTCTTTTGAGGATTGCATCCGTGACATCAGAAATAGTGTATCATCTGTGAATTGCTGTGTTGATGACTGAGTGATACTGCTTTGTATTTTCTGCTACTCCCGCAGATGCTCACAGGGTATGCATACCCCTTTTATAGCTGATATGGGATTTTTTATATATAATTGAGATGAGTTTATCCTGAGAAATAAGTGGGTAGCCAGCATGCATATATCATCCTAATTCCTAACCTAGAATTTGTTGTTTGCAATTTTCAATGTGGAACCATGCCCTCGAACATTGTGTTTCAAATTTCAATGCATCGTCTATTATTTCAAGGCATGTGTGGCTCCCTGAAGTCAACATAATTATCCGGTAGGTAAATTTTCAGTGCATCGCCTATACTTTTATTATTGGTTTAATGACCATCTTCTATCTTTGTGCAAAACTGCTGCAGTTGGAAAGCTACACAGTCCTGGCGCTCCCTGTGTAAACTTGTTCTGTAGAGAAGAAGAGACCAATCAAAACTAAACCCCATTACCAATTCTCTATAGCAAAAAGAAAAATGTCACAAATCTAATGGAGTCAAATGAAAACTCTGTAGTCAATTCCAACTTCCAAGGCAGTATATTAGTAGTAACCAAATCGGTACATTGTGTGTGAGGAGGAAAAACAAATCCAAAGATTATACGATTCCTACACCACGATAATGGTATTTAAGAAGTGGCATTTAAATTTCAGAAACAAAACCAGCAGTGTAAGCCTGGCAATCAGCCAATGTTTCGAGAGCAGCTTCGTGCTACTGCTAACTTTGTAATCTATGGAAGAGTTGAAGTTCCTTATGCGTTTCAGACTTCGAGTTCTCTTCCTACAAACTAGTACATGTCCACAAATGCATGATCACCCAGTTTGCTCACTCAGCCCTCCTTTGAAAATTGGAGCATTATGCAGTTACAACCACTGCGCCTATATTCAGTCATCCAGCAACGACTGCTGGCGAACTGCTCCTCTGCAACCATGAGACCAGATCATCCCTTGAACTGATGAAGCTGCCAGCTTGAGATTCACTCGGACAGAATGGCACCGCCATTTGCTCCAGATGAGCGGCGAAAGCACTTGCCAGCCCCTGCGCAAACTTGTGGGTGCTGGATCCAGTGTAAACGGTGAAGGACTCTGGCAAAGCCTTGTGCTGCACCCAGCGCTCCGAGACAGTCTGCATCCAATCATCGAATGCTGTCTTGGCCGCACCAACCGAGAGCGATCGCAGGTCCAGCGACCACTCCTCATCCTTTCTGCTTTGAACCTTGGAATATAAACCATAGGTCTGAGCAAGATGGAAGACTTCTCTTGCTCTCTGAGGAGGGAAGCCATGGTTGTGGCATACATCGATCAAACAGTTGCAGTAAGGGCGGCGTACTTCAGGGGCCGCAGCGTTCAATACGCTCTTCAGCTCCTTTGTGATATCGTCAGCACCAACCTGGGCATCACCGAGCACTCTGATCAGCTTGACCAGGTTCTGATTGACCTTTTCCAGCGAAGAAAGCACCATTTCCATCTCCTCCCCGCTGCTAAGAGCGATGACAGAGAGCAAGCACCCACAGAGCCGATCATCGGGCTTGAGACCCTTCTCCAGCCCAGCCTCAAGCACCTCCACGGCTTGCTGTATCCTCTGTGCCTTCCCGAGGCATTGGATGACAATGGTGTAGCTCATTATGTTGGGCTCTATCCCGCCCTTCAGCATTTCCCCAAACAGCTGGAGCGCGCGGTCTGTGTCCCCGTTGCTCCCGTATATGTTGATCATGGCCGTGTAGCTCCACTTGTCCGGCTTTGGTACATCGCGGCATTCCGGATTCTTCATCTCGTTGAAGAGCTGCTCGGCCTCGGCCACGAGCCCCACGTCGGCGCACATGCTCAGCAGCGTGTTGCAGAGGATGTTATCGGCGGGCAGCTTCAGCTCCCTCATCTTGTTCCAGAGCTGGAGCGCGTCGCGGCCCCAGCGTGCCCTGCCGTAGATCTTGGCGAGCGCGGTGAGCGTGCGCGCATTGGGGTCGACGCCCTGGACGACCATTTCCTCGAACAGGTTGCGCGCGAGGCCCGGCTTGCCGGTCTTGCCCAGCGCCTCGAGCAGCGCGTTGTAGACGAAGATGTTGGGCTTGATGCCGACCTCCCTCATCTCCTTGAAGACGAACTGGATGCCCTCGTAGTCGCCGACCTCCCCGAACATCTTGGCGAGGACTGCGAAGGCGACGTGGTCGGGCTTCCAGCCGCTGCCCCTGGCGCGGTCGAAGAGCGCGAGCACCTCCTCCTTCATTCCGAGGTGCGCGTAGACGTCGAGCACGGCGGAGTAGGTGACCTCGTCGGGGAGGACGCCGTCGGCGGCGTACATGCGCTCGAACCACTCGACGGCCTTGGCGAACTGGCGGCAGCGGCGGGCGGCGGTGATGAGCGTGGAGTAGGTGATGTTGTCGAGGGGCACGCCCGCGTCGAGCATGTCGAGCGCGAGGCCCTCGGCGTGCGGCCACTGGCGCGCGGCGCGGAGTGACTTGAGGGCGACGTTGAAGAAGATGGTGTCGAGCTGGAAGGTGCCGGCGGGGAGCGCGCGCAGCCAAGCGAGGAGGGAGAGCGTCTTACGCCACGACGGGTGGAGGTAGTTGAGGAGGAGGAGCGCGTCGGAGGGGGACGGCGCCGCGCCCTGCCCCTGCTGCAGGAAGAAGGCGTCGAGGGTGCCCGCGAGGTCGGCATCCTCGGGCAGGGCGCGGAGGGCGCGCAGGAGCGGCTGCAGCGGCGCGG